CATGCCTAAGCCCTGCAGGGTCATAACAGAGAGAAGTCTGCAGTCATAGTATTTTTAACCTGGAAAGAATACTGGTGCAGTCTGTCATAATGTGGTGAGCTATTCCATGATAACACCCTTTCACAACTGGCTTAATCTGCAGTGTCCCTCCATGAACCTAATTATTATGGCTCTCCCTCCTTTGGGTCTAGTCTGGGCTCTGCAAGCCAACCTCATCATCTCAGCCCTTCTAGGTACTGCTACTGGGGCTGAGTTGTCACTTCACTGTGCCTTTCCCAAAATGATGCAGGAGCCTCTTTGAAACCTGAGCCCTTGGCATTTTCTTGTTGTTCATCACCTCACCCTGGGGACTTAGTTCTTGATGTACTTCCTTTCAAGTAGGTGGCTGCTGCTTTGGATCTCAGTCTGATTCAAATGGTGACTATTCCTTTGATACCATTGAGACCAGATACCAGACCACCAATTGGACATTTTTTTCTGGTTATCCTGTCCTGACTTGCTATGGGGTTTAGGGATGTCTGGGGACATGAATTTCTGGGCCCATTTCTTTTTCTAAGGATTCATATAATTCCCTAACTTTATGGCTTGGAGACTGCCTGGGTTAACAGTGCTTTTGCTCAGACTGTCCTCTAAGACTTGAATTTGCAGCAGAAACAAAACAGCACCTGGTCGTCAGTTATACTACAAAGCAGGGTCTCAGTAAGGGTAATCAAATTACTGACTTCACTGAGGGAAAAAGCATCTGGCTTCTTTCATCTTAGGGTCTTTAGATCTGAGAATGCTGGCTGAGGGCAAAGGGCCTGGAGGTAGGCCTGCCTGGACATGACTTCTCTGCTGCTTATTAAAATCTTAGCCGACCTACTCCGAACCCTGGTTCCTCTATATGCAAAATAGTCACAATAATAGCATTATCTTAAAAGACTTGCAGGGGGTTTCCCTCGTGGCGCAGTGGTTGAGAGTCTGCCTGCCGATGCAGGGGACGCGGGTTCGTGCCCCGGTCTGGGAAGATCCCACGTGCCGCGGAGCGGCTGGGCCCGTGAGCCATGGCTGCTGAGCCTGTGCGTCCGGAGCCTGTGCTCCGCAACGGGAGAGGCCACAACAGTGAGAGGCCCGCGTACTGCAAAAAAAAAAAAAAAAGACTTGCCAGGAAGCTAAATTATGAAGATAACTAAGCATCTAGCCCAGGTCAGATTCTGGGGGTTAGTGGCAGGAATTCAGATATGTTAACAGTAGTAGCTAGTAGCTGAGTTATTTACCACATAATCGAGTTGCCATTTATTTGTGTCACCTTGGACAAGAATACCTACCTCCTGCACTATTGCGAGGGTTTAATGAGATAGCATTGTGCCAAGCAAACAGTAAATGCTCAATACTTAACTGTTATTGTTAGGCAGCCATGTTAGGTGTTGGTGTGCTTTATTCTTCTGGGTCTTATTTTTTCCTTTACCTTTTGTTTGAATTTCAGGGTGAAACTTCCTACATACGCGTTTATCCAGAGAGAAGCACCAGCTATGGCTACTCACGGTCTCGGTCTGGGTCAAGGGGCCGTGACTCTCCATACCAAAGCAGGGGTTCCCCACACTACTTCTCTCCTTTCAGACCCTACTGAGACAGGTGATGGGAATTTTTTCTTTATTTTTTAGGTGAACTGAGCTGCTTTGTGCTCAGAATCTACATTCCAGATTGATGATTTAGTGTCTTAGGACATTTTTTTAATTTTTTTTTTTTTAAGGAAATAAAACTACATAATTTCTACCAGGGCCATATTAGCAGTGAAACATTTTTAACTGCGGAAATTATGGTTTTGGTTCAGAAACAAGTTGTATATTTTTCACCCCTGATGATGGGAAAAAAAACAGTGCTGTATCTTTGTGGGTTGCTCTTCTACGGAGATCAGCTGTTACTGTGACTTAAGTCGGCCCATTCTGTTTAGAAATATATTTTAAACGTTTAGTAATTGACATGTGTGATTGTCCTTAATTACGTTCATAGATTTCACCAAACAGGCACACTGATAATAGTAAAAAAAAAAAAAAAAAATCATTGACTTGTAGTGGCAGCTTGTGCCCAGTTGGTAAGGAGCAGGAGTGGATTACTTTATTTGGGGATAAAGATGTTGCTCTGATGGTGGTCTGAGAACTTCAATCCCAAGGGCAGGTTCAGGGTTCTCTTATAATTCAAGGCCAACTGTGTAAGTTAAGCTGCTTTAAAGAAAAGAGGGTGCATTGCAGATAGGGGAAGGGAATGGGAAGGCTAAAAACAGACTTTTAAAAGTGGGCACCAGCATAAAGATCATTGGGAAATTCTTAGCCAAAACCAACTTTGGCAGTTGGTTAGGGAAAAAAAAAACCAAAAAAGTTTTGGTTCTATCACTTTCACTCCTAAATTTGTCTCATTTGTCCCTGGTATCTGAGCTTTAAAAAACAAAACAAACCCCCAAACAAAAAACCCCACTGTCTTGGGATTCTGTTCAGTTCAGTAATCATGGGGCAGGGGGCCTACTTTGTCACAGGCCCAGGACTATTTTTTTTTTTTTTAGACCACTTTATTGAAATACAGTTGACCTGTAAAAAGCTGTACATTTAATGTATACAACTCAGTGAGTTTGGGGTTAAGTACACACACATGAAATCACAACCATGAAGGCCATAAACATATCCACCACCTCCCAAAGCTGCCTCCTAACCTTAGCAGAAAGTCAGCCCTCTGCTTGGAACAAAGTGGGTACCCAAGAACAAATTTAAGTGTGCTCAGTAAAGATAAAAGGCTGCTCAAGTCAATGGAAGCAGCAACTGAAAAGGACAACTCAGGTTGTCACATAGTGATCAGATGCAATGTCTAACAGTTACATAAATAGAAAAATTCACTTAAATGCAGTTTGGTAGACAGTCTTTTGGGGAGGGGATAAAATCTTCCATACAGAACAGCCTGTGAGTACACTTGATCCATTTCCTTGGAAACTGGCCATACCTTCTACTTCCGTTGGCATCAGGGACTATTTGCCTTATTTTGGCTAGATCTTTCCCAGTTCTGTCTTCAGAAGAGTTAGTTACTAAGAGATACTTAACCATCACTTTTTTCAGGTGACTGAAGGAAGTGGGAACATTAGTGTTCGTAACAAAATACTCATTGCACTTCCACGTTTTTAGAGGGCACCCCTTCCCAGAATAGCTACTCAGCAGTGTGAGAAGGGCTCTTTTTCATCCAGCTTTGGCCAAGAGATATTACCTGTTTGAAAACAATAACAAAAAGGAATGTTATAGTTGAGCCTGCTTTCCAACTGGCTCTACACTGAGCTAACTGGTTTGTCATGAAAAATAAGCAGTGGAAATAAGTGTAGCTATTACACTTTCTCTAACTATGAGTATCTGAAAGAACCAGTTATAAGTGAAGCCTAATCAATGCACACTTTTCAGTAAGTAGCAGAGACAGGTTAATTAGACATTTATATGCATATGGGAGAGGAAGGAGAGACTATGACTGTGAACTCAGTTTTTCCCAAGAAGCAAAGTCTGACACAAGGTTCTATTTGAGAAACAGCATATGTGATCAATGGATGTGTCTGCTGAAACAGCAACAACTATCAGACACTGAGATTGAGAGATTATAAAATCTTATTTCTCTCCACAGTTAACTGAGGTGGTTCAGTTAATCAGAGGCATGAGCTCAAAAAAAATTTTTTTTTTTTTGTAGTACGCGGGTCTCTCACTGTTGCGGCCTCTCCTGTTGCGGAGCACAGTCTCTGGACGCGCAGGCTCAGCGGCCATGGCTCACAGGCCCAGCCGCTCCGCGGCATGTGGGATCTTCCCGGACCGGGGCACGAACCCGTGTCCCCTGCATCGGCAGGCGGACTCTCAACCACTGCGCCACCAGGGAAGCCCGAGCTCAAAAATTTTTTTAGCTTTCCTTCCCATCCTTGCTTCAACCAGAGCTTTTCTTTAATTGGTTGGTCTTGATCAAAGAGGTATTCCCTGAGCCAGAGAACTGATGTTTGTCTCTGGAGGCTGCTCACGATGGTTCTCCACTGAGGGGCATCTCCTGAACTTGAAGCCGGCACTTGGAAAGCCATCTACCTGGAGTGCTTAGGCTAGTCCCATTCCCCAATGTCCAGAGGGGTGCAGCAGCTCTGAGGGCTCACCTATCTGCAGTTCAGCTACCCAAGGTTCTGGGTTTTATTATTGGCCCAGAGTTTTAAAATAGTTACAGTGAGGTTTAAAGATGCAAATCTCCACACTAGGGGTTGCAGATTGGTCACAGGATGCACCTGGCTTGCAGCAGGTATGTTTTATTTTCATGGTATTTTTTTAAATCTTGAATTAACACTTAAAATTTGGGAAATAGCACACAAAATGCCAGATGTCCAGGTTCTCTGGGAAAATGGGATCCTATTCCTGCCTGGCACTGAATGAGAAGCAGCGCATGCCAGCTGCCCCTTTAGGCATAGCTTGAGCTCCAGATTTGCCACTCTACACATCTCTCCCTGCCTCGGTCCTGTTTTTGTTTTGCTCATTCCTGTTAACACCTGGCCCCTAGAGGTGAATGTGACCCCTGGAATCTACTGCCACCTTAGTGTCACCACCTGTATATACTTTGTTTTTTGTTGTTATTAATACATGTATTATTTTTTTTTCAAGAGGATATTAAATTGTTTATTTATTACACATGATAATGGATGATACACAAGCTTCATTCCCATCTATATCTGGTACCATAATCCAATTTAGATATATTGCATAGGATGTGCCAACAATCATATATTAATAATCAAAAAACTCCATGACTTGGCTTGGGTGACCCTTTTCACGGTGAACTCCAGGTCACAACACAGTAACTGTCAGTTCAACTACACCAAGGTTTCGGAAGACAGTAGCTTCTCCACCAAAGCAGGTTGTAAATAAATTTTGAATGGAACCTGGCATCACCCTGAAGGAATACTAACTTCACACTGTTGGGGTAGTTTACCAAAATGGCTTCAGGGTAGACTGACTTTATACAGCACATTTTAAAAAAAGACACGTTTATTCAGCGTCATGATCAGACTATTACATTTAGCAATCAACAGCATGGGTGCAAAAAAAAAAAAAAATCTACATTAAAACCCTTTGTTGGAATGGTTTACACTTTCCACAGAACAGAAACTAAAATAACCTGTTATACAATTAGTCACAAATACAGTCCTTGAGGTTTTTTTGCCCATACACATGAGTATTGTCTAAAACATGTCTTCTTTGTAGCAGCTAGGCCCTGCCACCACTGTGCTTGGCTGAGTTCACAAATCTGTTGTAACCTGTAGCTTCCCTGTCACTTCTCTGGCTCTCCTCTCCTGCTAAGCTTTGTTTCCTGGCAGTAATCAAAACCTTCTGCCACTGCCATAGCTACTGCTGCTGCTGGAACCACCATAGCCACCTTGGTTTCGGGGTTTGGCAAAGTATTGGCCTCCGCCACCACAGGGGCCAGAACTTCTGCCTCCAAAGTTTCCTCCTTTCATGGGTCCAAAATTTGAAGACTGATTGTTGTAACTGCCAAAATCATTGTAGCTTCCACCACCTCCAAAATTGCTTCCATCATTACCAAATCCATCATAGCCATCCCCACTGCCACCATATCCACCAACACCGTGGCTGCCACCAAAGCCACCTTGACCACTGAAGTTTCCTCCATGACCAAAGTTGTCATTCCCACCAAAACCACCTCCATGACCACCACCAAAGCTTCCAGAACCACTTCGACCTCTTTGGCTGGATGAGGCACTAGCCATCTCTTGCTGAGATAGGGCTTTCCTTACTTCACAGTTGTGGCCATTCACAGTGTGGTATTTCTGAATGACGGTCTTGTCTACGGAGTCACGGTCATCAAAGGTTACGAAAGCAAAGCTGCTCTTCTGCCACTGCCTCAATCAGTCATGATTTCAATCACTTCAATTTTCCCATACTGTTCAAAATAATCTCTTAGATGATGTTCTTCAGTGTCTTCTTTAATGCCACCAACAAAAATCTTTTTCACAGTTAAGTGGGCACCAGGTCTTTGAGAATCTTCTCTTGAGACGGCCCTCTTTGGTTCCACAACTCTTCCATCCACCTTGTGTGGCCTTGCATTCATGGCCACATCTACCTCCTCCACAGTGGCATATGTGACAAACCTGAAGCCTCTGGAGCGTTTGGTGTTTGGATCCCTCATTACCACACAATCTGTGAGCGTTCCCCACTGCTCAAAATGGCTCCTCAGACTTTCATCGGTTGTTTCAAAGCTCAAACCTCCGATGAAGAGCTTCCGCAGCTGTTCGGGCTCTTTGGGTGACTCTGACTTAGATGTGACGGCAGTGGAGAGTTGGGGGGGGAGACGTCAACGATGCTTACTCGGCGGCATCCACAAGCAGAAAGGAGTAATCTCCATGTGTTTTTCTTATTTCCAGTTTTATTGAGATAATTGACATACATTGTATAAGTTTAAGGTGTGTAACACAATGATTTGATACGTGTATATATTGCAAAATGATTACCATGATAAAATTAGTTAACATCCTAGAGTCACCATGCTGTACATTATATCCCCAGGACTTATTTAACTTATAACTGGAAGTTTTTACCTTTTGACTTCCTTCACCCTTTTGCCACTTTATACTTGTCAAAGTGCTTTCACATAGCAAATCTGGGCCTCACAGTTCCTACTGCATTCTTAGTTTACTGTGGGACAGTCTGTTAAGCCATGTTGGGCAACACATACCTGGGGGAGCCACAAAATACTCCTCCACAACGCGATGGGAGTTTTGTAGTAGTTCTTCAGCACAGTTGCCTTCTACCACATTGTCGGATCTCAAGTACAGACATCTACAAAACCAGAAGTTTAAGGTTACCTTCTCAGAACATGGCTTCTAGGGAGGGCATGGGTGGAGAGGGTCAAGTACGGGAGAACAAGAGAGCAGCATATTCTTGAGTTATAGTCACTGCTCAAAGATGGAGGAGTTGTAGTCAACAGTAGACCAAATAACAGCCTACCATTTATAGATTCTCCCAAGAACCCTGTGAGATAAGTGGTAATTATTCCTCAGGATTGATATGTTTAATATTTTTTATGATTACTATGGGTAAGTTGCTTTTGGCGGAGATAGGTAAGAAGGCAATTACAGTATAATATATTAAATCTAACAGAGGTAAGCAATGCTTGCCAAGGGACTAGATAGGGGGACCTAACCCAGCCTGGGTGAGGGACAGGTCCTCAGAACAGGTGATGTCACTCCTCAACCATGGTCAAGGAACAGCTGGGTTGGGACTTCCCGCTGGTCCAGTGGTTAAGGCTCCGTGCTGCCAATGCAGGGGGCCCAGGTTCAATTCCTGGTCAGGGAACTAGCTCCCACATGCTGCAACTAAGAGCCTCCATGCCGGGCTTCCCTGGTGGCACAGTGGTTAAAAATCCGCCTGCCAATGCAGGGGACACGGGTTCGAGCCCTGGTCTGGGAAGATCCCACGTGCTGCATAGCAACTAAGCTGTGTACCATAATACTGAGCCTGTGCTCCGCAACAAGACAAGCCACTGCAATGAGAAGCTCACGCACCACAACGAAGAGTAGCTCCTCAGTGCAACTAGAGGAAGCCCACGCGCAGCAACAAAGACCAACGCAGAAAAAATAAATAAGTTAATTAAAAAAAAAAAAAGAGCCCCCATGCCACAACTAAAGATCCTGCACACAGCAATGAAGATCCCATGTAAGACCCGGCATAGCCAAATAAATAAATATTTTAAAAATATGTATACACTTTAGGGCTTCCCTGCTGGCACAGTGGTTGGGAATCTGCCTGCCAATGCAGGGGACACAGGTTCGAGCCCCAGTCTGGGAAGATCCCACATGCCGCGGAGCAACTAGGCCCGTGAGCCACAGCTACTGAGCCTGCGCGTCTGGAGCCCGTGCTCTGCAACAAGAGAGGCCGCGATAGTGAGAGGCCCGTGCACCGCGATGAAGAGTGGCCCCCACTTGCCGCAACTAGAGAAAGCCCTCGCACAGAAACGAAGACCCAACACAGCCATAAATAAATAAATAAATAAATAATAATTTAAAAAAATATATGTATACACTTAAAAAAAAAGAAACAGCTGGATTGGGGGGGTGATGGGAAATGAGAAAGGTGCAGAAACTTGCTCAAGATTGGTTATAAATAACTTAAGCTGCTAAGTGACAGGACTGGGATCCGAGCCCGGTTCTGGTACCCCTAAGATGAGTGCTTTTTTCATTGCAACCACCTTTGTGGATGTAAAAGTACCTGTCCTTGCAAGATGTACCACGAACATAGCTCAAGAATCTCACACTGTTTTTGAGGCTTAGTGGTTTCATTAAACTATCCAGATGGCAAACTAGTGAAACCAAACAGGAGTTGAACACATCTGTGGGGCTTCACTACTGTTTTTTTTGTGTTTTTTGGTTTTTTTTTCGGTATGCGGGCCTCTCACTGTTGTGGCCTCTCCCATTGCGGAGCACAGGCTCCGGACGCGCAGCTCAGGGGCCATGGCTCACGGGCCCAGCCGCTCCGCGGCATGTGGGATCTTCCCGGACTGGGGCACGAACCCGTGTCCCCTGCATCGGCAGGCGGACACTGCGCCACCAGGGAAGCCCTTCACTACTGTTTTAAGGTTTAAAAGTGCATGACAAGAGGTTTGAGTTGGCTTCCATATACCTGGGCTGAAAAATAAGCAGTCTGCTCAATCACTAAGAGGGTAGCAGCCAAGCTCTTTCTGCTCTGAGCCAGACATAGACTGCAGGCTAAACCTAATGGGACAATGGCGCAAGGGTGTGACATGAACATCTGGGTAAAGGCTGCATAGAAGGCCAAGTTGTAATGATAAGATTCTTTTAGGAAAGGATTGGTTCTTCTATTTCTTTGGGGCACCCAGCCCTGGGCGAGACACAATAAACACTTATTCATGGTACAAAGAGTGGAAAGCTGGACTCTATTCCAGGACTGGCACCGTCTTAATGCGTCACCTTGAACAAGTATGATCTTTCTAAGACCTTAAGCTTCTTGCCAAAAAAAGTGAAGGTTGCACTAGAATTTTTTTTTTTTTTTACCATACAAGGATTATGCACTCATACTCATTCAAGGAAACTTGGAGAACAAAAATAAAAGTAATCTGCAAAGGTGACCATTGGACTTTCTGGGGTTTATATTTCTGTTGGGCAATACAACAAAATGGCTAAGAGACTGGGCTCCTGAATCACTAGAGAATTCAAACCCCAGAGCTGCACGTGGCCTGTATGCAAGTTACTTATCCTTTCCATGTATCAGTTTCCTTGTTTGTAAAATGCTTCAGAGAATTGCTGGGACAATTAAGTGAAATGATGTTTAAAAAGAAGGTCTGGTAATGCTGGGCTTGCATTCTTAGGGCAACAGGAGGTGGGCGCTGAATAGCACCTGCTCTTTTTTCAAAAAGAGTTTGTACACCCCGGGTACACCTCAGTCCCCACTACTCATTCAGAGAATACCTATGCACTTAACCTGCTATAATCACTCACAACCCTCCCAGTCCATAGGGACTGGAGGCTGCTAATTGTTCCTGGGCGCTTGGAGATTTTGACAAAAAAGACTATACTACTGCCAAGAGGTGGTTAAAAGCTACTGCTTCCCAACAGTAGGTAGCAATTGATTGGTTCACTCATTTGGTAATTGGGTTTCCTATTAAGTGACATTTCCAGAAAGACAAAACTCACCTCTTTAAATATCACACATTTCCATCTAATTACTATTTAAGGTGGAGTTGTTTGTAGAATAAATCCACACCTCCCTATTTTCTTAAACATAGGCTACTGAACACAGGGTCTCTGAGGGTGGCACACCAAGCAGACCCCTCACTTGGCAAGTCACTTAACTTTTCTTGACCTTGGAATCATGCATAAAACACCAAACAAGACTAGATGAGCTCTTTAAGTGCCTATCAATTATGACTGACTGAATGTCTACCTCACCTCATCTTTCTCAGTCAGGGTTCTATTATAAGAGCATTTAGTCCAGATACATAGGACAACTTCTATGCATCTGGGCTACTTGTTAGTTATGTACCATCCTTGGGAGACTTGAAAAAAGAGTCCATTGATCTTTCTGTGTCCTCAATCAGATGAAAGACCCCGGTTGAGAAAACTTTTGACTGTGAATTAGAAATCCCTGCCCTCTAAAGCTCACAGACAAGGCACTTAAACCAGTAATGAGGGAAATGCATTTAATTTCATGGAAAGCACTATGGCAAGCATGGCAGAAGAAGTGCCTCTGTTGGCCCTTGGGCTGACCAATGGAACAGTTCTGCTGTTGTATTAGTTTCTTTCTGCCTCTTCCCTGCTATCAGGCTGCCAGGAGTTGTTTCTCTGGGCACCACTCTACTTCCATCTACAAGCCTTTTAATTTATTTCTAGTTTCACGCGGACTGAAATGAGAGCTAATCAATTTGGCAAATAAGGCTCTGAGGGACATCCTAAGCATTGAAGTTATTTGGCTGCAGTCAGAGATGTCACCTGAGTCAGTCTCTGGATCTGAGATGAAAAAGGATAAAGTTTCTAGGGGCTGACTTTATTATTGATTGATTGATTGATTTTTTTGGCTGCGCCACGAGGCTGGTGGGATCTTAGTTCCCCGACCAGGGATTGAACCCGGGCCCCAGCAGTGAAAGCACCAAGTCCTAACCACTGGACTGCCGGGGAATTCCTGGGGCTGACTTTAGAGGGCATATCTAGAGCAGTATTTGAGAGAAGCTCTGAGTTCCAAGTCCTGGATTCTCCTCGTAATACCTGTGAAACTTTGGCACAGGTTACATAACCTTTCTGAGCCTTGGTTTCTTCATCTATGAAAGAGATACTAATATTTGCCTTTCGGGATTATATGTGATTACTGAGATATAACGCATATAAAATCTTAGTGCCTGGTACATAAGCATGCTAATGCTTTTTAGCTCAAAACAAATGATAGGTTATTAATGGGCCAAGAGATTTCTGTTAGCCAGTCAGGACCTTTACAGCTAGTGTGGCTATCACCTAAAACCATTTAACACTTGTCTTCACTTAACTGGGTTCCATTTCAAGTGTCAGTGAAGGCAGTACATTCAAAACATGAAAATCCTACAAATGTCACATCTAAAATGGAATCATTACCCCAAACTGGTTTCCTAATTTATGGCAAGATTGCAAATCACTGAATACTAAGTCACTATTCCAATTACCAGAACCAAATCCCTCTTCATCTTTTCCACAAACTCTTCCCTGAGTAATAGTTGCATTTCTTTATAGTTACCCTCTAGATGCCTTGGGAAATTCTGACTGCTCTTTGCACTCTATTCCCACCTTTCCCATAGATAATAAAGAACATTCAACAAACATTTACTGAGTGTCTGCTCAGTGCTAGATGAAGATGAGCAATAACAGACATGCTTCCTGTGAGGTGGACGAGCAGTAGAAGAGGGGCAGAGAATCAAATATCAATTAAATACATGTATGAATACATGTAAAATTACAGCTCTTTTGAATACCATGATAGCCACAGGTCCTGAAAGAGAATCTGACTCAATACAGAAGAATGAAAACTTCCTTGAGGAAGTGGCAGTTGAAATCTGAAGAAAGGAAATTAAGTAGGCAAAAAAAAAGCAATGTGGGGACTTGCCTGGCAGTCCAGTGGTTAAGATCCCACGCTTCCACTGCAGGGAATACGAGTTTGATCCCTAGTCAGGAAACTAAGATCCTGCATGCCACACAGTGAGGCCAAAAAAAAAAAAAAAAGGAATGCATGGGCTGAGATGGGGGTAAAGGCAAGAGCCCAGAATTCTAACAAGGGGAAAGAATGGAGAGCTCTGGGAAAGCAACGTCTTGAAGAAGTGGGCAGAAGCTTGGTTAAATGATGCCCCACAGGCTATGGTGAAGCTTTCCTTTTTATCCTAAAGAGCACTAGGAAGCCACCTGAAGGGCTTGGGTAGGAGAATGACATCAGATTTCTGTTTTGAAACACTGTAACTTTGGGCAAATTGGTTAACCTCCCTAGACCTAAGCATCAAGATTACAAAATAGAGGATTTGAAGGAATCAAAGACTGGAGTGAGGGCTTCCCTGGTGGCGCAGTGGTTGAGAGTCCGCCTGCCGATGCAGGGGACACGGGTTCGTGCCCCAGTCTGAGAAGATCCCACATGCTGCGGTGCGGCTGGGCCCGTGAGCCATGGCTGCTGAGCCTGTGTGTCAGGAGCCTGTGCTCCGCAACGGGAGAGGCCACAACGGTGAGAGGCCCGCATATCGCAAAAAAAAAAAAAGACTGGAGTGAGACCATGAGGCTAGCAAGCACTTTACATGAAGGTTATGGTTACAGATAAGTGTGGCTCTCCCTACCGGCATTGACTAATGGCAGCTTTCTTTCTCCCACCTGTACCAGGAGTTTATTTTTTAAAATTCCATCAGAAAAAGGCTAGGACAGAGTTGTAGACTACCCATATCTTTATAGGCTACATACCCATCCTTTCTAAGAAGCTGCAGTCCCAAACAGCAAACAAGTCTGCTTTTCAAAAAAAGATCATTTTCTTTTAAAATGTATTAAGATTTGGCAAAAATTGGTAGAGGTGGGTAGAGGCTGCACCCTTTTAGTACTCATAAGCTGCTTTGTCAAAGACCCACCCCTCCCTGTTTCATTACACTACTTCACTACTTGGGTTATTACTCTGCCCCCTTAGGCATTTGTGTTTTGGGCCCTAGGTATAAAATGAAAAGTTAAAACTTCCCTCTAGGCTTCCCTGGTGGCGCAGTGGTTAAGAATCCGCCTGCCAATGCAGGGGACACAGGTATGAGCCCTGGCCCAGGAAGGTCCCACATGCCACGGAGCAACTAAGCCCATGTGCCACAACTACTGAGCCCGCGTGCCACAACTACTGAAGCCCACGCGCCTACAGCCCGTGCTCCGCAACAAGAGAAGCCACGACAATAAGCCACGCAGCGCAACGAAGAGTAGCCCCCGCTTGCCACAACTAGAGAAAGCCGGCACGCAGCAACGAAGACCCAACACAGCCAAAAAACAAACAAACAAAAAAACTTCCCTCTGCATTCCCATCTTCTTTAACACTAACCATCGTTAATAGTTTCTTGCATGCCCTTTCAGGGAACAAAACAAAACTTAATGCATACACCAGAGTATATAAAATAGATTACACATAAAGTATCAATAATACCATACACGATGTCATGAACTTTGCCTTTTTTATTAAGTATATCTTGGAGACCTTTCCATATCAGCATATAGTTATTTCATTATTTTTAACTGCCAAATATTCCAGTGTACTATGATGATATATTTAGCCATGAAGGACACTTAGAATGTTTCTGGGGTTTGTTTCTTTTCTGTTGTTTTGTATTATAAACAGATTTGCATACCCTGGGCGCTTGTGAACACATCTTGATGCACTTTCACAGATATTTCCATAGCGAACCACTAGGTCAGAAAATATGTACATTAAAAATTTTTGAGACAGGAATTCAGCAGCTAGGAAATCAGACATGAGCTCACATTCTATTAACAAGAAACATTACAAATCAACAAAAATAAGATTATCAAGAAAAATATTAGAAGAAAACCCTGGGACTTCCCTGGTGGCCCAGTGGTTAAGACTCCGCGCTTCCACTGAAGGGATCGCGGGTTCGATCCCTGGTCCGGGAACTACAATCCCGCATGCCGCACGGCCAAAAAAAGAAAACCAGACAGGATAAGGAGTTAATGCAAAGATCCTAGAGGAGCAACGAATCTGGCGTGTTGGAGAAACGGTAAAGAAGCCAATGTGGTTGGAATGATAAAAGCAGTACTTCGGTGCGGTAGGGAGGGACTCTAGGAAGTTGGGCCTCGAAAGTGAAGCTTAGCAGTTCGGATTTTGTTCCTAGTTACACTGGGAGCCATCGAGGATTCTACAAGGGAGGGACAGGATCCATAATGAACAAGGGAAAGAGTGAAAGCACCCGCGGGGTGACCGTGGGCAAGTTCTCGCATCTCGCTTCTGTGAAATGAGACACTAATCTTCATCTTAACTGGGAGCGAAAGCGCCGCAGGCAAGGCTTCGAGGCCGTAGTCGCGAGCTTACCTGTCCTCCAGAACTGACTCCATGGGCTCCACCCCGTCCGTGTCCACGGCGCGAAGCCGGTCGGCGAAGGCGATGGCTTTCTCCAGCCGTGCCACGGCCTCTTGGCTGCCGAAGTCCACAAGCGCTAGCCGCTCCAGGTGCTCGATCAGCTCGGCCGTGACCCGGCGGCTTCCCTGGGGGAGGATGAGGCGGAGGGCTTGGGTCACAGGTGGAGCCTGCTCCGCCTCCCGCCCCGCTTCGGCACCCGCCTAGACGCCCCGGCCTCTACCTGAGGATCGGCCTTGGAGGGGAAGCCCCGGCGCCCGCCCGCCGACGCTCGAAGGCCCAGCCACAGTGCCCGCGTCCACATTTCTCTCCTTCTCGGCCTCCGTAGTGCGTCCTCTCGTAAAGCCTAGCGACGCGCTTAAAAGTGATGACATCCGAGAGCGCCGCCACCGCCGACGCCATGAACAGTGTAGGGGAGGCTTGCACCGACATGAAGCGTGAGTACGACCAGTGCTTCAATCGCTGGTTTGCCGAGAAATTCCTCAAGGGGGACTGCTCCGGGGACCCGTGCACCGACCTCTTCAAGCGCTACCAGCAGTGTGTTCAGGTGAGCTGAGGCCCGGGTCCTCTCGCCTCTACCCCAGGCACCGGCTTCTCTCTACGGTGTTCCTGGCCTCACGCATCGTATCTTGAGGGCGTTGGGACTGGCAGGGTGAAGAAAAGCCTCGATGAGACCAGTGACAGTAGTTCTCTCCCCTACCGTCACCAAGGCTGCCTGGTATCTCTCCGAATGACAAAGTTAAATATTTTTGCAGCACTTTACTTTTTACGGAGCCCAGTAACATTCTTTGGTTCATTTGGTGCTCAACCTGAACTTGCAAAGTGGGTATAGTTATTCGTATTTTATGCATGGAACACTCACGCCCAGAAATAGGAAGTGATTAGTCGAAGTTCACTAGAATCAAGTTTCCTTGGATTTTGTGGTGGTGCACTTTTCCAATATTGCTGAGGGACAAGGAGGGGTGTTAGCCTCTCTGGCCTGTTAGACATTATGGAGGATCTCCTTTTGTTATATTCCCTTCATTGGCCTATTTTATTCTCTCTTGACTAGCCAGAACATCTTCATTCCAGCCCAGTGAATGTGAAACTGATCTGAATCGTAATAACAGCCCTGGGCAAGGCACTCCCAATTAGTTAACTTAAAAAACATCCTCAGTAATTCCAGGTGGAGCTGCTGTCTTTACCCAATATAGATAGGGAAGTTAGGCTTGATCAAAGTTACATAGCCAGTAAGTCCTGGGACTGATTTGAACTTGTGTCTGTCACAAGAGTGGTGATACTGTTTAAATTCCACTTCTGAATTTTGATGTTAACTCTTTCCAATCTCTCTGGTTTTACAGTTAATTTCTTTGTAATCTTATGTTAAAAAGCATGGGGTTTGAATCATGTTTGGTAGTCCTTATGGTCCAGTCGGATTTACTTTTGTACCATCATATTTATAAAGTTTGGTCCTCAGGCTCCATGTGGACCTTTATCATGTGTTTTCTTCCATCAGAAAGCAATAAAGGAGAAGGAGATTCCTATTGAAGGACTGGAGTTCATGGGCCACGGCAAAGAAAAGCCTGAAAGCTCTTCTTGACCTTGACAGTCACCTTGAAAATGGACTCCTCAAATCAGGAAATTGAGGACTCTGGATCCTGTCAGTTAAAGCTGTGAAGATAGCATCGATTTGATGAATTTAGGAGAGAGGAGTTTCCTGTCCTCCTTGATATTTTTCTCTCATTTGTAAAAGATGATGAAAAAAATTACTCTTTGCTTTGAAATTTCAGGCTTTGGCATCAGCAGGAACTCAATGTGCTAAATAATGGGATTATGGTTGCAATACTTGGTCTGGGATCGGTTTTAAATGTATCTTGTATGTAAATGCTGATAAGCTTGTCAGGATGATCAAGGTTGCCTGAGTTATGCTTCGAAGGGCATTACTTGTACACTGTACTGGGGTTACTGTTCATGGAAGCAACTGGTTAGGATCTCTCTTTTCTCTCACGGAGATAATGCTTTGGAAAGGGTTCCCAGCACAACAGTTTCGATCAATGCTTGGGAGCAGTTTTATTTTTATATAGTAACTTAACTGTTAAGATTGCTGATGGACTGGGTTAGCCAAGAGGAAGATAGCTTTTAACAGTTCCCTACCTTAAGAAGAGGTGTCAGATCTCATATTAAGAGGTGAAAGCTTCAAGAACACTGTGAACACCATTTCAGAGTTCATGGTGTATTTCAGCAATTAAGATCCTTGGAGTGGCTATGCAGGAGGATCCTAAATTGCAAAGATTTGCTGTTGCCAGCTTTCAACTTAAGTAAATGAATTGTCAACCTGTGTATCATAAAAGTGCCAAAATGCTGCCTCTGGTTAAATGGGGGGAGAAAAGAGTTCACTTTATTTGCCTCCTTTACCCACCCTGCCCTGTAATGCCTGTAATCATGAAGATGGAACAAATTGTAACATTTAGTTTCTATCATTATTTGCCCCTGAAACTCAGTGCACTTTATGGAACTACCACCCTGTAACCCCACACATCCCATATATACACTGGGGGGAGTTTTTTATCATTTTAAAATGAAGATTTATCTAAGCTAGGTAGTATCGTATAGCAAATGGAAACCACTGATTTCTAAAATTTCCACAGTAAGCTACACAGATATCTTAAAATGTTTATATAATGGCACCCCAAAAAAGGTCAGGATCAGGTGAGCACTTACACACTTTAGAATGTCATGTAGTCTCCACAATTGCATATCTTGAGTAATGTGGTTCAATTTTTTTTATGTGCCCATACAGTATGAAACTTGATTTACAGAAGTCCTAGATCCTATTATCTCTTCTCCACTTTACCAATTAATAACTTCATATTTAATGTGACCAGTCCTTCATGTCATTGCAATACATTCTGCATTTATATTTTGACAGGTTAAGGTCCATTATACAAAAGATATCTGGAACCCAGTTGAGGGAGTCCAGGCAGCAAGCTGCAGTTAAGTATAACTGTCCTGAAATAAGCCTGCCCACAAGCCAGTAAAACCTTATAGGCTCTTGAATCTTACCACGAAACTGTCTGGTTGAGCCTTGAGAATAAAACAAATGTTATTATAATTGCTACTGAGGGAATAATTTTTTTCTGATTGTTCCTCATGCTATTTTGACTTTATCCTGCCCATAAAATGGCTCCCACTATCTCAACTACTTAAAAGGTTTTAAATTTTGAAGAGGAAATCTTAATTGCTCTTTAATGGTGATCTCTCCTAATTCCTATGGCTACAGGAAGGTTTTAATTCCAGAAACAAATAAAGCCAGTTCTATATGCAGAAATGTGTCACACTGCCTTTATTTCTCCAAAAGTTTCTGACCCTTCCAGCCTTAAGGGAGCTGAGAGATGACCCAAGATGAGAACTTGACATCTTTGGAGAAAATTATCTGACTATAGGGAGAATTCTTCAGCAAATGCTGGTGTCTTTGCCACCTGAAGTCTGCCAGGACCCAGTTTTGACCCTTAATTAGCTTGACTTGTGGTATCTGCTTTACCCACCCCAGGCACAAGAAACCAATGCCAGGTCTGTTACAAACATTGTTATTTGGAGGCCTGAATTGGACCTGAAACTCCGTAAACAGCAGCCGCAGACCTTCACTGCAGAAATAGAAATAACATCAATGTTAATTTCTGAGGGAAAAACACCACCAAAGAATGCAACTCTCAGCTCATGACTAAATTATTTATTTAAGCCATCTCCTGCCATAAGCAAAGGGACGGAAGATCAGTATAATGGTCATCAAGTATAATGGTCATCACTGGATACAAGAAGGTGAGCTTAAGGTCTCGAACACTTTTCTGGTCCATGTGTGCAGAGTAATGGTCCAAACCAGTGCTGTGGTCCCCACTGGGTAATGGCCCAGGTTCTCTTTATTCGTCTTCATAGCCAGTTGGAAGCGGATTCACGTGAGGGTTATGGAATAGGGTATGATTACCATCTCCCCAGGGAAAGGGCTGTGGAGTGAAGATGTCAATTAAGCAATTCCAGAAAATAGTTCAGAAACAACACTACCACGAACTGCCTAAAGTAGGGTGAGTAACAGATAATACATAAAAACAAAATGGAAATTAGTCCTTTAACTACTGGCATATTTCAGCCCTCCCATAATTTAAGGGAGCTCTTATAAATTCCAGGGGAGCCCGTAAAGTAGACAGTATGAAAAGCAAGCTCAAGTTCGTTACTCAAAAGCCTCTCGCTGGTAACTGTACATCAGTGCTGTGTTTCTGAAAGTGCAATCCTCCCACCACCTGCATCAAAAGTGGTAGAGGTGGGTATGGGGGCAGAGATGCTTACTTAAATGCAGATTTCTGGACCTGAAACAAATCTCTGGATTGGAAACTGCAACATACCCTCAGTTATTTTGCATGCTACTTTTGAAAAGCATTGCTCTAGGGCAGTGATTTCCAGCCCAGGATGATTCTGCCCCTGTGGGGACGTAAGCCAGTATATGGAGACATCTTGGGGAGAGAAGCGTATACTACTAGCACCTAGTGGTTAGAGGTCAAAGATGCTGCTAAACATCCTATTAACTCACAGGACAGCCCCTCCTCACCCCAAAGAGAATTATCCAGCCCCAAATGTCAATAGTACTGAGATTAAGAAACCTTACTGCACGGCTTCTAATTCTATTGTACAAGGTTGGGAGTAGCACTCAGACTCAAAAATTCTTTCTGGATCTAAGGATCCTGCTTAATTTTCCAGTCCTACCTGGGCTAAGTGAGGTAATAATTTTATAATATATCTGCATCAATAGCCAAAGGATGACATAGTTGGGATGATAACTAGTACAAAGGTGAACAGAAGCTGTCAATCTCTTCATTATGCAGCTAGTAGCTTCCAGATGCCCAGGTTTTAGAAAGGTGAACCGCCTTCCGACTTCGCCAGTCTAAGGGAGTTTCCCAAATCTCCAGGTTTTGTACCACCGACAACTGTTTCAGAACAGTATCAGAAGGCAAAAGGTGGGATGACTCGGAGAAAGGAAAACTGAAGGGCACTTATTGTACGACCTTGAAGAAGAAAGTGAGATATGACCGGAGAAAATAAAATGAGAAAATTAAATGAGAAACTACACGCAAGGCACCCACGCTTTTAGAGAATGAAGAACTTGGCATTTGGAATGAAAAGCGAAGAGACACTCGAACAGACTACAAGGGGTACCTTGGACCTGATGCGGAGATGGGGGTAGGCGACGAACTCGGGTCTCTCCTCCTCTCCGTGGCGCGACTTCAGGAACACGTTCAGCATGCTCACTCCCACTCCGGGAAGCGCCACTAAGTAGGTGAGGGACTTCCACAGGCGAGCTGCAGAGGGGGCACGACGCTCAGGCCTGGTGGTAATACGCCCGGGTCTCCTCTCCCACCCCCAAGGCCTCAAGCCAAGGTCACAGTCCCGCCGCTCTTCTCTCCAGTGGGGCCGAGGCCCGCCCTGCGCACCCAGTCCCAGTACCTGAGCCCTCCTCGCCGTGGGCGCCACTCGACATAGGCCGGCTCAGCAGCCGGGAACGACCTAGCAGCCCACAAACCCTGGGTACAGCTGCCGCCGCCATCTTCGACCAGAACGGCCGCAGCGCCGGAAGCGGAAACAGAAAAATTGGCTGTGGGGGCGGGGCCAGAACCTCAAAAGGAAGTTCCTATTGGGCGGCGCCTTTTAACCCGAGGAGCCTGCGCACTGTCCTCCCGGCGCGCAGAATCCTAGCCTGAAAGCTCGGAGCCGCAAAGCTAGAGGGAGCATGCGCTCTGCAGTCCTGCGTGCACTCCCTGCTCCCTAAGGTCAGCATCCTGGTGAGGTTAAGCGCAAAAGAAAGGTTTGTGGAGGACACCCTGGCATCCGGGGTCGCTCCCTTCGTAGAAGTCCGTACACAGCAACAGGAGGTTCCGAGCACAAACCACTCTATCTAAAATGCCATTTCCCCTCCTCCCTATCCTTTGACTCTGCGCTATTTTTTTCATGGCACCAGGACATAATAATAATTGTCATCATCATTATTACAATATTTTGTCGGCATCACAGAGTTTATGTTCTATCAGGGGAGTCAAAAGATTTTGCCACTGCAGCATCCCCAGACTCTGGAATCGTACCTGCCAAGTAACAGGTGCCCTACACAAATTTGTTGAATGAATGAATAGCAACGGGAAACAATTGGCATCTGTTATATTTTATCTCTACAATTCTTTCCCACCCCTCCTGTCATTTTTCTTCCTTCTACTCATCTAAAAACAGTTTTAAAAATAAAAGTTAAAAAATAGATACATAAGATAAAATGAAAGTAAACTTTTTGACCATAGGTTCCTTTAAGGATATAATGAAAGCTATGAATCCTTTCCTCACAAAAAATGCAGCTGCTCCTAAGCACACACAGTTTAAGCACACAATGTTGGGGGAAGAAGGTACTATAAAGTACATCCGGACACCCCCTAAGAGTCCTGTGCCCCAGGTTAAGAACCTCTACTTAGAGGAATAAACAGGGACTCTGGCGTGGTAAGACTGGATTCACATTTTGTTTCCATCCCTCACAGCCTGTATGACCTTGAGCAAGTTAGATAAAACGAATGCTTTAAGGTCCTGCAGTTTCATGAAAACAAAAATGTAGGATCATATTACTAGAGCTTCACAATCTGATCTTTCTTTCTCTGAGTAGCCTGGGTTTTTGCATGTTATGGTGAAATTAGGATTGTCAAATCCCTAGGCATCCTCAAACACAGCCAGAGGGGCTGTGAAGCCCCACAGTGTAGCCATGGAAAGGGTCCAAGCTCAAGGATCAGGAAATCCTGGGTTCAAATCTGGTCTGCCCCCAACTGTTCCTCTTCTCTAAAATGGGAATGTAATATGCACTTATTCATCCCTTTATCTGACAAACAATAATTTAAGACACAGCCCCACCTGGGGAAGTTACTCACCCTCTATCCATAATAAGATGGTTCATTTAATAAATATTAACTACGGTGACTGCTATGTGCCAGGTGTACACAGTAGTATGCAAGAGCTATAAGATCTCTCTCATGCAATTTACAATTCAGTGTTAGAGACAGGATTAAGTGAAAAATGCCCAATGCCTAGGATATGTTAAAAATTCAACAAATGTTTATTTTCTCATAGGACTTTCATACATCTTGCAGGGTGGTAGTGCTAGGTAAAGATTCTGTCTGTCGTATGCTTGGCCCACAGTACATTCTCAGGCATGATGCCTATGATGTTATTGCCAGGTATGCTCAGCATTTGCAAAGCTTTGGGTGACTGAGTTTAGACAGCCCAGGAAACCAAAATCATCAATACAACAAATAGCTAATATTTACTAAGCACTTATTTCATGCCCTCATCTATGCTAAACACTTTACATAAATTGTCTTCTCCACCTCAGTAAATGGGCACTCCATTCCTCAAGTTTAACACCTTGGAATCACCTTTGATCTCTCTCTCTCTCTCTCTCTCTCACGCACACGCACGCGCACACACACACACACACACACACACAATTTTCTATCCAGAATCTGACAGCTACTTACCACCTACTGCTACCAATTTAATCAAAGGTGTTATCTCTCACCTGGGCAATTGCAGCAGCTTCCTAACTGGTCTCCCTGCTACCTGGCCCTTCTACAGCCTATTCTTACGTGGCAGCCAGGGGAAAACCTGTCAGATCATCTTCTTCCTCTGCTCAAAATCCTCAGTGGTTCCCATCTCAGAGTAAATGCCGAAGTCCTGACAGTGGGCTGCCAGGTCCTACACACCTTGCCCCCAGCCACCTCTCTGACATCATGTAGTCTACCTGCTCCCTTGCCCACTTCACTCCAGCTACATTGGCCTTCTTGCCTTTCCTTGAACATGCCAGGCATGCCCCTGCCTCAGGACCTTTGCACATGCTCATATCTCTGCCTAGAAGAGTTCCCCCCCCCACCCCGTAGCCGCATGAATTGCTTCCTTATTTCACTCAGGACTCTGCTTAGAAGCCATCTCTTATCAGAAAGGCCTTCCCAGACCACCCTGAAGTGAAATAGCTCCTCCCCGCCCTGACACTCTATCCTCCTTACTGCGCCTTATCTATCTTTGTGGCACTTGCCACCATCTGCTGTATTAAATATTTATTGGTTTATTGTCTGCCTTTCCTCACCACATACCATGGGGGCAGGGACTATATTTTGTTCACTGGTGTGACCACTTGGCACGTGATAGGACCTCACTGAATATACATTAATCCCAACCATGATCCTGTGAGCTAGATACTATTCTCCCCATTTTTCAGATAAGGAAACTGAGACTCAAAGTTGTGAGGGAAAT